CGGGCTATATGTTATTATTCTCAAAAGCGTACACAGAAAAACAAGATTAAAACAAAAGAAATTTGAATGCAGTATAGTAGATGAAATGAGGCTGAGTGTGGGTGTATAGATCTTATTCTTACCCACACGCACACACATACACACACCCACACTCGCCCCACACCGACCTTCACCCACATTCAGACTCGCACCCACACCCACACTCGCACCGACACCCACACCCGCACCCACATCGACACCCACACCCACATCCATACCCATCCACCCACACCCACACTAATTACAATAATACAAATAATGGAAAATATTATCCGAATTAATTTTCTCTTTCGAAAATGTTCATAGCTAGAATAATACATTTTTGTTGATGATTTATTTTTATTTATAATATATACATACAATCTTCTGAATGGTGTTGGACTAGAGTTAATTACTGCCGACTAAAATATTTAGAAATGAAATAAGATTATTTTCTTTGTACTTAATATACATTACTTCGTCAGGTCCAACTCTGTTATTCATGTTCATAGTTTTTTGTTTTATATGAACTTGAATATTTTTTACAATCTAAAATCGATAAAGAAAAAACCCTTTTGTGTTTCCAACTTGTTAATGAATACTGATATAATTATAGAAAACATCAATTAACTCATCGAATATTGCTGCATTTGCAACAACAACAAAAAAGTTTTATCTCAATAAAAATATTAATTTTATTTCTTTTTTTTCAAAGTTAGTTTTCAATAAAATATTGGCAGATGTGAGTTGTTATCTTTTATTAATGTAAAATCTCTGTTGAATAAAATACAGAAGTAAATTGTTTTAAATAATATTTGTCATGATTTTTTAGAGAAGTAAAAAAAGAGAAAGTCAGGGAATGACGTCAAATGCTGCATAAAATACATTGAGAAAGAATAGAATATTTATTGTTAGAAATATTTTGTATTTAATATTTTCAGCAGAATTCAGTTTTTTTTTAGAAAACTTATCCAGATGTTCATTTTAATGAGCACTAAGCTTCCAGAAAAAAGTACATTTAATGACGTCTTCATAATTTTCTATTGATTATTTATCGTTCTCTCCTGTGTAGCGTCACATAATGAGTCATTTCTGCGATCAACGTAGTAATGACTAAAATTACTTTTTTATACTTTTTCACGTTGATAGGTAGTATAAAGTGAGATATATGAAGAAAATCTCTAGTTTTTTCTTTTGTGTATTTAAACGACCGAAATTGTAAAATAGTTGGCATGTCGTTTGAAAAAACCAACACAGAAGATAGCGTTAGCTGACTTCTTTGAAGGATGTGGAGTGTGGGTATAGATGAGTGTGTGTGAGTGTGAGTTTACAGTGATTGTGTACTCACACCCACATCCACACCCACACCCTTCTTTTTCTTTCCTTACTTCTGTAAAATTCAACAAAATTAACGAAAGATAATGAATTCAGCGTTTATTTATGAGAATTTTTTGATCAAAAATTCTCGAATTAAAATCAATTGTGATGTAAAAAAACCAGAAAGATTTCTCTTCATTGTTTCTTATAGAAATATTTCTTTTTCTTCAAAATTTCTTCGATTTTTCGTTGATTTTCAATAATAAAACCTGACTTTTGTTTTCTTTTTATTTCTCAATTGTTTATTTAATAATTAAAAAAGTTCTTTTCTTTTTTGCAAATTCAAAACTTCGTTCATAAGAATATTTCAAATTTTTGTATTCGATGATTCTTACAATCAGCAACATAAAGATTTCCTTCATCATCAAAAGATAAACCACAAGGACCATACAATTGGCCTGATTGACTTCCTTCACCGTTTCCACCAACAACAATTTCACCTTCTTTTTTTCCTTCACACCAACGCATTACTCGATGATTCCCAAAATCTGCCACATATATTTGACCTAAATCATCAACAACTACTCCTCCAGAGTGACACAATTGACTGAGATTTCTTCCTTCACCATTTCCTCCAGCCACAATTTTCCCTTTTTTTGCACCTTTTCTCCATTTCATCACACGATGATTGTTAAAATCTGATACATAAACAGCTTGATCTTTATCAACAAAAATAAAAGTAGGAAAATCAAGCTGATTGCGTTGATTTCCTTGCCCATTTCCACCTGCCACTACAATTGCTTCATTGTCTCCCATTTTCCATCGTATTACTTCATTCCTCTGTGAATCAGAAACATAAAGAAATTCATTTTTATTCATTGCCAAGCCCTGACAATTAATACTGTCAACGAGAACGTCTTGATTTTGATTCATCCATTGAATCACTCGTCTGTTTCCAAGATCAGCAATGATGATCGAATGATTTTGTTCATCAACAATCACATCTATTGGTCGACCCAACTGATGCATTCGATTTCCTTGTTTATTTTCACCTGCAATAGTTTGTCCTTCATTTGCATTATGTTTCCATTCAACAATACGATGGTTATCTCGATCAGCAATGAAAATGTTTTTGTTTTTATCAATAAAGATCCCAGCAGGGTGATTAAGTTGATTTAATTGTTGTCCTTGTCCATTTCCAGCAGCTACAGTAATGGCAGTTTGTTTCCATTTGTTAAATTTTGGTTCTAGTAAATGATGCAAACAAATTAAGATTTCAAGAAAAAGAAATTTAAACAAATCGAAATGAAAGATGGGAAATAAATAATGAAAGAAAGATTTTTGAAATGGATCAGATAAATCCTAGTAACCTAAAATCTAATATAATTTACTCATTATTTATTATAAAATGTTAATGTATAATTCTATTTTTGAATTTATCGATACATAATCATAATAAAATAAAGAAAATTTTTAATGTATTCTTTTATAGATTCATTTGATTTAATTTTTATTAAAAAAGTGATTTCAATCGCAAAAAATATCTACCTTCACTATTGATATAAAGAAAATGAAACTAATTTTGTTACTTAACTAAATTAATAGTTACAAAGAAAATTATGGAAAGTTTCTTCTGAATAAAAATCTTTCTATAATATCACACGTTGAATAGATCTCTTCGATTTTCACTGTAGAAAAGTTATATTGTAAATAAATGGAAACAACAATTTGTGAGATTGAACGAAATTCTATTTGACTCTAACATCATAAAATCAATTGTCTCTCATTTATTCATAGTTTTTACAATTAAAAAGAATATTTTAATCATCATTGATTTATTCAGTTGTTGAAAATAACTTTTAAATATTTATATCAAATAAAGAAAATTTAACTCAACTATTTTATTTTTTCTAATATAAAATGCATCAATTAATAGATATTGACACTTTTTAACAATTGATATCAAATTTATGAAAGTTTTATTGATGAAGTTTGCAAACTGAAAAAGTAAATTTTGATTTTATCAATCAATGATTTTTTGAATACTTGAAGAAAATGTTTTTCTAATATAATTTTATAGACAGTGAGAATTATCTTCTAAAAACTTACTTTTTGATGAAATAATTGAAATTTCATCAATAAATGATTGCGATTCTTGTTGAATAGAAATATTTGATGAATTATTTAATTCTTCTGTAATTTCGTTTAATTGATTTCTTAGATCGTTTAAATTAATTTCATTAAATTCATTTTCGGCATGAATTTGTTTTATTTGTTCACATAAATCATTAAATTTCTTTTCAATATCATTAACACATGTTTGTGATGATTTAACAAGGATTTCTCTGTACTCTTGCGCTTTTTGTTGAATTAATTCAATTGACTTACGTTCCCATTGATCAATTTGTTTTATTAACGAATGATTTTGTGGGTTTTGTCTTTGTTGATTAATTTTTTGTTTAAATTCATCATAATCATTAATAATATGGTTTAATTCTTCATTTAACATTTGTTGATGTTCTGTTAAATGTGTTAAACAAAATTCTTTTGAACATCCTCTACAAGGATATGTTATTTTTTCTTTATTGCATGTAAAACAATGTGTTTTATTGTTTGCCACTGCCATCTCGTTGAATATAAATTTATAGAAGAAATCTAAAAAGAATTTTATTGTAACAAAATCTTAGTGATAAAACTGATGTGGTATCTAAGATGGTTAGACAAAAAATGAGAGTGGACTTTGTTTTAATTTCAAATGCAAAGTCTAAACGATTTCCATGATATTTTGTCAATGAAAGTACATTTTAATGTAGATTAAGGGTATGTTTGTTAGTAAGTTTTCATCAAGTCCATATCTACACTCATAAATGCTTATTAGAATTGACTTAATCTCATTGAGACTTACGCTAAATAGAGATGAATTTGCAAAGCTCTGAATCAGTTATGCTAGTAGTCATACATTAGTATATCTTGCATATATATGGTACTTTCTTTTCATTCTAAAAATGCTTTATATCATCATTTAACTTCTGTAGAGTTTGCTCTTATATTGCAGAATCATCTAATATACGATACTTTGTTGAATTTGTCGTTGCTGGTTGACTCATAGTAGATTAAAACACCAGAAATATCTTACAAATAAGAAATGAGATAAAAATACTCTTTTTTTTTCGATACTTTTGAAAATATATCATCGAAGAAAACGTTTAATAAATACTCACTAAACACACCGAAATACAAATGAAAGAAAAACAAACCAATATAAATACGAATATTTTTTCTCTTCTTATTTTTCCTCTTGAAAGTTACCTTCACAAGCCATTTTTTTATTTCGTCATTATTTGTGTAAAATAAAATGACATTATATGGGGATTTGATATATCTGTTTTCTTCCTATTCATGACAAAATTTTGACAAAAAAAGGTAAAGGAAGAAAAAGAATGTACAAACATTGAATCATTATTTTTTGTCGTTTTAAAATAAACGTTCGTAATATGAAAAAACAGATAATTAAGTGGGAATATTTCACAAGAGAATGAGTCGAAAGAAAAATAGAAGAAGAAATCCAACGAAGGATTATAAGTCATATGAGAAAAAAGAAATAGTAATAAATTGTCAACAAGGTTATTTTTTATAAGGATGAATAATTTCTTTTCGTCTATTAGTACTTGCATTAATTGTTTATGCACATTCTTTATTCTTCTTTGTTGTTTTTTTTATGCATTCTGATCGTAGATTCTTTTTAAAGACAGCTTTTAATGTTGAAAGATTCGATTGAAAAATAATTATGCAAGAAAAAGAAATCGACAAATTCCAAACAGATAATGAAGTCTTTTTTTCACTAGAATTTTTTTTGATTCATCTGATAATGTGAACCATCTGTAGTTCGTTGAGAGCTATGAAATCGTATATTCAAATTTTCTGTGACATCTAACAGATTCTAATGAAAGTAAAAGTTAGAACTATTTCTAAAGTATAGTTCAGTCTATATATCTTATGAACTATTTAATCGTTTGATTAGAATTAGCTCACTCAATGAAATTCTATGATTTGTATCAAACTGGATATGCACAGTTTTTACGATAGTTGAGTGAGAAGATTGAACGTGAAAAAATTGATTGTCTTACACTAAGGAAAAGATAATTAGAATTGTTTTACCTCTTGGTTCACTTCATTCTAGAAATCATTTATGAAACTTACAATGGAACATATATGAGAGTTATATAATTAGAACACGAATTTCAAATTATTCAGTTCGATACAGACCTTGATGAGGATGTAGATGTTTGATTTATCTTTCGTTCATGTCAGCATTCACCCTGAAGCTGTGGATACCAACGGTACTGAAATTAACTTTTCAAAGTAAAATTCAACGTTTGGTTTTCCTACGAACCAACAGCAATCGATGCTTATCATGAAAAAGACGACATGGATAATATATGATCTAGATACTTATTAAAAATTCAACACATTATAATAATTTAATCTCTGATAGTCAATAAAATATGGTAAATTTTACTATTTGATTTATATGAAAGTGATGAGAAAATTATTTTAATTCAATAGAATTAAACTCTAGTATTAATATTAGCAGAAAATCAATGTAAACACAAAATATATGTAATAACCTTCTATATTAAAAATCCTTATATTGAATAGCACTTCAATAATGATTATTGCTCAACAATCTTTATATGAACAAATTATTTCTTCTATTTCTTCATCAAATATTATTTATATAATAACCAAATTAAATGAAAAGATATGAAATAAATAATTAAATATTTAATCTACAATTTTTATTTTAATAAATTTGCGTGATTATGTGTTGTACGCGAGAATATCATGAAACTTAACAATACATATAAACATGAAAAAAATGAAAGTCACATCACATCAATTGACTATATTAGAAACAATAGACTCCACTACTTTCTTTCCATCGAGCATCTCTGCTAACCAATTATCGTGGTCATTCTTCTGCTTCACATAAGCATCGAGCGTTTGTCGACATCTTGCCCGAATACGTCGCAGTGCTTGCAGCTCCATGACGGATAGTTGTGTGTGCAGTTGCTCGCATGCAGGAAACACATAATCGATAAAACCATCTTGCAGACCAACGAGAATCGCTTCGTTGCGTTCAGGATGAGCCGATACACACAATAGTTGCGTGACGAATTCACGTACATGTTCGCTAGTATCTTTGAGTGCGACACCGGCAATCTCTACCACACCGAGTATGAGACCATTGGTTGTCACCTCGTCCATACCAGCACACGTATCAGAATCCGGTAAGAAGCCGTACAGTGCTCGAAGACATCGAATAGCCATCATACCGTAGGTGCTGGCGCATTTGGCAGGAAACGAGGGCAGGTATTCGAAGGGTACGGCCGATACTGACAGTAGAGATAAAATGGCATGATTCTTCTCTTGAAGAGATAACGGCGAGAAGAAATTCGTCGGCATCAGACGACTCGTGTACTGACGAGGTGCAGACGGGCAAGCAAGGATGTCAGACCATTCGCATGTGACACCAATAACTGGAAACTTTGTCTCGGCACCTGTAAATGCTTCGTAGGATCCGGTTCTCTTGATCGGAAGATTGTGTCGGTTTAAATCGCAAATCCATGCTTCGAGAACGGCGACTTCTTGCGACGTGAATGCTCCGAACATTCGTCCACCCCACTTCATCTCGCGAATCAGTTTACTTTTTTCAGGTTCACCGCGAACGACCCAACGACTATCCGCAAGTGCACGTAAGAAGGCTAGCGAGTGAGTCGGATAGAGGATCGGATCGAGCCAGTCATCAAGCTTCTTTCCCATTCGACCACCAATCTTTGCAGAACAAGATGCATGCATCGGCTGAGCTGCAATAGTCTTCTCACCGAATATTTTCTCCAGTGCTGCATCGAGATCAGATCGAGGTGACGGCGTCGTAGGAAGTTCAGATGCCAAAATGAAACCTGCCTGAATACGTTTCCAGGCCGTGTCTCGCTCGGCGACAGGAAGTGATGCCATATAACCGATAACAGCGTTGACACCCATTGCTGCGTGACCCGAATGGTTATTGTCGATCGAAACATGCAAAACGAAATAATACGGATCGATGTTCAGTTCGCGCAGTTCGTAGATAGTAATGAGGATATGCACTGGTAGGCTTTCGTAAGACATGTTGAAGCCGAGAATCTCAGGAAGAAATGATTCGGGGAAAAGGGAGATGCACAATTGAGCGATGGCCGCCGTCCAAACGCGACTTTCGTTATTCAGGTTTCGTAACGAGGAGATGAATTCTTTGGAATCGCCATTACCAATATCATCGACGTCAATGGACTGTAAAAGTTGCTGGTAGACCCAAACGTGGTTTTTCTGCAGATCACCATCGCCGAATTCTTCGCTGAGAATTTGCCATAACGTCTTGGTGTACGAACGGTGTGCGAGACTTGTTGTCACTCGATGTACACCACCGAGCCAAGCACCATCAACGTACTTGACAGGTGCGGCACTGCGGAGCCAATATTTGGCATGCTCTAGATCAGGGAGCAATTCACGGGCACCTCCAGCTTTTCGACGTTTCAAGTAAGCCTTGAAGCGTGTGCCGACGTTGGTATATTCTGCATTGAGAAATTCAGTGAGCGCCTCGGGTGAAAATGTAGGCACCGCATTAAGAATGTTCTTTGAACACGATGCTCGTGCTCTGTCTATGGTAACGTCGAAGAGTGAGAGAAGGCGTTGATAGGCGACACGTAGAGCTTCCGGATAGTATTCGAGGTTTTGCAATTGATAGTACAGTTGCTTATCGAGGCCGAGCGGAAGGATCGTGGTTGTAGAGTAGTCGTCCGAAACTAAATTCTTCTAAAAGAAATAAACAACATTAGCGTGATTTTTAATGAAAATAGACGTTCACACGTTATGTCAGTGAAAAACGTACTTTATGAGAGGCAAGCTGCTGCTTATTCACTTCATGTTTGTCAGTGCCATCAGATATTCTTCCGTTTATTGTACGAGTGAGCCAACAGTAGATCGAGAGAAGAAGTTCGAGAAGGACCGACAGTATAAGAAGCATATTGATTGTATATGTATTGACGACGATAATGATTCAGCAAAGATTTTTAAAAGAAATGAATGTAGAGAGTATCTAAAAAGAATCAGATTAGTTTTAGCTATATATTGTTTTTTTTATTGTATTTCATCGGTTATTGAATTGAAAATAAATGACAAGAACAAACTTTTGTTATTAATGGGTAAATATATATATATTCATGACAAAAATCGCCATTAATCGATATTTATTTCCATGTTTTTATGAAAAAATGAAAACAGTGTACGAAGGTTAAATACAACCATGTATTCATCGACAAGCGACGTAATGCTTACATTGTATTTTTATCCTCGTGTTTCTCGACGAGAAAGAAATAAGAATATCACATGGTATATGCACGTGACTTTTTGACCCTTCCTTTCGTATCATTATACTGCGTTGACGATGGACGAGAGAAGCTAAAGAAAGAAAGAAACAATGAAAGAGAAAAAGAGAAAAAGAAAGAAAGGATTAATTTCGTCTTCGACGTCAGTTACATTTTACGTTCGTACTCTTTCACTTGAATATCAACCAGTACAGCTGAATGTCTTCGATGATGTATGATGATCAGGCCTTGCTTCACTTCGCACAAGCGGTAAAGTATACTGGGTACCACTTCGTTACAGTGACACCAGCGGTAAGTTATTTTTATCGTCGATTGAACAGAATATTTACATAGAATGTTGTTTAGACTCACGCACGTGTCAATGCTCAACCGGAAAATAGCTGGGCACACTCTTTAAGGGATGTGCTAGGATGGAGTCGGCCGTTTCATTCCAGTCGATTCGCTGGTGAAGAGAATTTGCTCGATATGATGCGCAAAGCACAGATACTTCGTCAAATGAACGACAACGACACAGACAGTTGGCAAAGCTTGGTACGAATATCCAGTCTCGACGGTGAATTATTTCTTCATTCTGCATATCCGACATTGGCCGACGAATCTGTCTTCTTCGGACCTGATACATATCGATTTGCGCGTGCAATTCGTGCTGCTGTGGCTGCACGTCAACCGACTGCACCGTCTGTCATCCGTGCCGTCGATATCGGCTGTGGAGCGGGACCAGGTGCTGTGATGCTCGCCAAAGCCTACCCGAAGGCGGAAGTATTCGGAGTGGATATCAACAATGCTGCACTTCGCTTGACGACGATCAATGCTCGACTTGCCAACGTCAACGTCATCGCTTGTCATAGTGATCTTCTGAAAAATATCCAAGGTGATTTCGATCTGATCGTTTCCAATCCGCCGTATCTAGTCGATCAATTCAAACGAAAGTATCGACATGGTGGAGGCTCACTTGGATCGGAGTTGTCGGTTGCTATCGTCGATGCTTCCTGTGAACGACTCGCGCCCGGTGGAACGCTAATTCTCTACACCGGCTCGGCTATTGTCAGTGGTGAAGATCTGTTCTATGAAGAAATCAAAAAGAAATTGGCTCAATCCACTCTACTATGGACATACGAAGAAGTCGATCCGGATGTGTTTGGAGAAGAACTCGAGACGGAATTCTATGCTCACGCCGATCGCATCGCGGCTGTCGTTCTCACCATATCACGACTTTAATCTCTTATTCTTTGTTAATTATGTCTCATTTTTGTGATCCAATTAGCTTTGCTTGTTAACGCTGAAAACAATAACGGCGATTTAAAATAAAACTAGCACGAACTACCAAGAGAGTAGAGTCGTTCTAGAAACAGAGCAGTTTTGTATCAACAATCTATCATTCAGGGATAGATTAAATGAGATAACTCGATTCATAGTAGTGGCTTCGCGATCAGTGAAGTTTATGGCAAGTCGATTAAGATGTTAGCTTTTCTCGAGGATGATTGTGGATGCATGTAGCTATTCGCTTCATCGTCACCTACACACACCACTCTCGAGTCCTAAATGATTTTATCAAAAATTTATAAATAATACAGTATACACAAATTGCCCATCTATATGTTAATGCTCAGAAAAATAGAATAAAGGATGAGATCTCTTTGTACAAGATCTTTTCATATTACATAGAAAAGGTGCCGATAAGAGTGTAAGTGAGGATATGGCTATGGGTATTCAATTTATGCTTTGCATTCGCACTCATACCGACACCCACACCCACACCCTTCTTTCTGTTCATATATGATGATGAATGTTGTTTTATACTTTTCCATCACGTCAGGTAAAAGTAATTTATATACATTGTTCTGTCAAGTTGACGATGATATTGAATTAGTTATACAACAAAACTCAAATAATCAAATTAGAATGGATTATCATTTTATGAAAAACTATTGAAAACTCATATTCGCTTTAAATTATTCATATGCCAATTTAAACTATAAACACACCTTGAACAAGATCAACAAACTAGTTCTATCTAATAGCTTTTCCACAGATCTCTATACCTATTTAAATATATATACATATAATCACAAGATATAAAATAAAACTAACCTGTAGATTTTCAATTTGTTTCATGATAAATAGATTAAATAATATGAGTAATATTATATCAGAATTTTTTCATATTTAATAATATTAATTCTGAATCATCAATCAAAGAACATGAATATTCATCATTTAAACTTATATCTCATACAATTATCATTTCTTCATTTTCATGATTCAAAAGAAAACGATCTTCTACATGTTCAGATTTTATACAAAATGGTACGTGAGTGTGCACGGATTGTTAGTTTGGATATTTATCTTTGAATGATTCACACCTAATATTTTGGATGAGATTTCTTATTCTTAGACAATATCTCCTTTTTAGATGACTCCATTCGAAGCGAACTTAAGTTTAGGATCTATCTCAATACGTAGAGACCTATTGCAAATTCCTAACTGAATATCAATACGAGAAAATCGAATCTACTGTTGACTTTACTTATGTTTTATGAATATATTTACGAAAATACAAGTCTCAAATCACAGAAATATTTTTTCATTCTATTTTTGAGAACAAAAAACATTTTCCCACAGCTTAACGTACTGTCGATAAATTAATCTAATAATATTAAAAAAATAGATTTTGGAATTGATTTCATAATACAACTTAATCATTTTTATTCATTATTTGTCAACTTAAATTAACTGAAATTTGATAAAAAGTATTTCAAATTATTTATTTGATCATTTTTTCGATTATTCTAATGAGACCTTTTTCTTAAGAAATTCTACTTTGAATTATCAATATGAATTAAGAAGTAACAAAAAACATCTTCAAGTTGTTTTTATTTTTGTCAAATTTCAATGAACAAACAAGAACAAAACGACAACCTAGGATGTGAGTGTGGGTGCGGACATATTCTCTTTTTCATTCACACCCACACCATCAAGTTGAATTTTGTAGCATTTCAAAAGTTTTATTACTGTTTTTATTTGGATTTCTTGGTTCATTTTTCCTTCGAAATTTTTTTCTATTTTCATCTAGATGAAAATCTTTTTAATATTTGCTTTGTTCAACAAAATTCATTTTGATTTCCAAGTTTTCATAGAAGATTCCTTTTCTCTTCATTTTCGAACAATTTTCAAATTTTATCAAACGCAAATTCTTCCTCTCGAATAATTTCTATTTAATTTAATTCAAAGTACAAAATATTTTCTGTTCTTATCTTCTGCAAAATTCAACAAAAGATGAAGAATTTAATATATATTTTTTGGAACTTTTTAATCAAAATTATTAAATCAAATTAAAATTTTAAAGAAAAAATTCTAAAACATTTTTCTTCAATCTCTTTTATCCAATAAAAAAATTTTTTTCTTTTTATCAAAATCAAAATTTTATTCACAAAATTATTTCAAATTTTTGAATTCGATGATTTTCCGAATCAGCAACATACAGATTTTCTTCATCATCAAAAGATAAATCACGGGGATAATACAACTGATTTGATTGATTTCCTTGGCCATTTCCACCAACAATAATTTCACCTTCTTCTTTTCCTTCACACCAACGCATTACTCGATCATTCCCCCAATCTATCACATAGATTTGACCAAAATCATCAACAACTACTCCTTCAGATAAAGACAATTGATTAAGATTTTCTCCATAACCATTTCCTCCAGCCACAATTTGTCCTTCTTTTGCACCTTTTTTCCATTTCATCACACGATTATTGGAAGAATCTGATACATAAACAGATTGATCTTCATCAACAAAAATAAAATTAGGAAAACTAAGTTGATTTAGTTGATTTCCTTGTCCATTGCCACCTGCCACTACAATTCCTTCATTGTTATATTCACTCATTTTCCATCGTCTCACTTCATTCTTCTTATGATTAGAGACATAAAGAAATGCATTTTTATTAATTGCTAAGCCGAAACAGTAAATATTTTCAATCAGAATTTGTTGACTTTGATTCATCCATTGAATCACTCGTCTGTTCCCATAATCAGCAATGATGATCGAATGATTTTGTTCATCAACAATCACATCTGTTGGATAATTCAATTGATCTGTTCGATTTACTTGTTTATTTCCACCTGCAATAGTTTGTCCTTCTCTTGTATTATATCTCCATTCAACAATACGATGATTAAAACCATCAGCAATGAAAACATTTTTCTTTTTATCAATAAAAATTCCAGCAGGGCCCCTGAGTTGATTTAATTTTTCTCCATATCCATTTCCGCCGGCTACAGTAATGGCATATTGCTTCCATTTGTTGAATTTAGATACTAGAAAATGATGAATACAAAAGATTTTGAGAAAAAGAAAAAGAGGAAGAAGAAGACGAAAATTTGTTTCTCATTGAACAGAAAAACGAATAGGTCAATATACAATGAAACTTTGACTTTGTTTTTGTCAAAGTTGAATTTTGAAAATAACTTTATTAAAAACACAAATTATTTGAAGTTTTGTATTTGGAAAATAAAAATAAATTCTTTTGGAAACTACGTTGAGGGTGTAGGTGTGGATAATTCTTCTAATATACGCTCGCCTCAAAATTCCCAAAAACAGAACACAATTGTTCTGTTATAGAAATGATATTCTCAGGTACTGAGTACTTTTATTCTATTTTGAGAGTGTTACTTTTAGGTACTGAGTACTAATATTTTGTTTTGGAAATAGCACTTCTCCCATTCCGGAACAGATTTGTCCTGTATTTAATTATTAATTTTTTTCGGACGGTCATATAATTTCAAATATCATCAGGTAAAATATGAATGCGTAAGTAAACTATGAATTTGGAATCTACGTGTGGAGCTTATTTTTTAGACTTAAGAAATATGTCAACTCCTATTTTTTCTTTTATAACAAAAATTTACCATTCTTTGTTATTGTATGAGAATTAGTTGATGTTATAAGCATTGTTGTTTCTGTTATCGACGTTGTAAGCATTTTTGTTGTTGTTGTTGTCGACGTTGCAAGAATTGTTGTTCCTGTTGTCGATGCATCAATTGTAGCTGTGGTTGTATTAATTGTTGGTTCGACTATTTTAATGGAAATAAACCATATTGTAATACTAATGATAGTTATTAGGATAAGCATAACAGCGGCAATTGAAAAACAAAAAACAATTTTTCTATGAGACAAAGATCTAAAATGATAGATATATTTCGAATAAATAGATTAAATACTTACGATCCTATTTGTGGACGAGTAGATTGTTTAATATTGTTTTTATTCTCTGATTCAGACTAAATATTAAAAACAAATTACTTATCTAGAATTCTCTAAAAAGTGTTAATTGTTCTCGTAACTAGCTGTTGAATTTATATAATTTGTTAATCTTTTCTTGAATAACAATAAAGAAGAATAAATCTCTTTCGGAAATATTTTATTTTGAGAATGAATATTTCATCTATTTTTAAAATTTATTTTTTGTCAAATAAAGAGAAGAATATGTTTAACAGTTTTTTTAATTCTGTGTGAAAATTCTCAAAAAAAGAAGTGAAATAAAAAACAATGAGAAATTTGATCTTGACTGTATATATTTATGTTTCTATAAATAAAAATTCAACCTGAATCAATCGTTTCCATGTAGAATATTTTAGTCTGGGATGACATTAAAAATAATGCAATGATTTATGACAACTTTTTTTGATTAATGAGAATAAATTTGTTAGTCAAAAGTATTAGTGAACGTGCAATGTATTGACATTATTTAAAGTTTGTTTTACGTAAAAAAAAAATAGCTAATATTTAGTTCTGTTTACTGAGATAAGATTTCTTTCGTTGTTCTTAACGGAAAAACATTGAAAAAACTCTTCTTACACATTCTGCACATCCGTCTTTCATACAATAAAAATAATTCTTTCAGATCTATCTTTCTAAAATAGTTATTCCATTTCGTGACTTTTTCTGACAAACTCATACATACAAACATCTAATTTTTTTAGCTAAAACTCAGATAAAACAGAACTAGAGGTGCTGGCTTAACATTAGTATTAAACTAATTGTAATACCAAATCAGCGTCCCTATACATAGCACCACTTACTTTGTGTTCTGGTAATGCATCATATGTAGTTGCTCGTTTTGTAGCCAACTCCATATCTTCTTCTTTTTTTTTGTTAATAAGAAGTTTTTTATATTCTATGTTTTAGTACTTATGTTTAGGTAACTTCTCAAGCGTTGGCTCTGACGATACTGTAGTTGTTAGGTTTTTTCCTGGTGATGTTGATTGTGGTTCTGAAAAGATGAAATCAACTAGGAAGAAATATTAGATGTGCACTACTGACGAAAAAACCGTAATTATATTATAGAAATTGTGTGATGGAATTGTCTTTATCTGAATTTGTGAAAAGAAAACATTTTGAAGTTATCACTATAAGATCCATTTGACTAAGGAATTCTTTCCATCTAAGTCACAAATATGAATACGCTTGTAAAAAATGTTTCATTTTGCACATTCAAAATTAAGAGTACCATTAACTGTAATCGTAAGCGTAGTTAGAATTGTGAAGTCACTTAGAGCATGACATTTCTTGTGCAAAGAAAATAAGTTTTAGATAAGTAAATTCTTAATTGGAAAATATGTTTTCTTTTAAAACCGAATGTGGGTATGACTGTTGGAAAAATACGCATAATCGCATCTACCCACATCTACCCTCAATTGCTGGGCCTATAAGAGATTGTCGTACTTAATTGTCCTTTGACCAGTTTATCTAGGTATGAATGGAATCTTGATTTAGCAAAGAGCTCAAAGTCTATAGAATATTTTATCAATAACTTCTTTGTAGGATAATTGACAGTCATAATCTAAATAAAATCGGGTAATAAAATTTATATGATTCTCTCAAACACGATTCATATCTTCTTCTTTTTTTGCGGATTTTCAATATTTTAAAACTTCTCCTCTGACACTTATAAAATAATTTTCATACCTTTAATTGTGTACTAGTATGTCGTCTTTGTTTTGAAAAAAAATGTAAAGCTAAACGGGAACCATCTTTTTATTTTAACTTCGAAATTGGTATGTCTTATTTTTTTCTTACTTTATCACAGTTATCTATTACATTTCATTTATAACAAAAAAGAAGAAGACCTTTTGAAAATAGCTACGATGGATTACAATAAAACAATTTAAAAAGTTATCTTTTAACATGTAATATGACGCTGATCATGAAATGAGAAAAAACGAAACTCAACAATAATTCATCGAAATCTATTCTTATCCAGGGTAGACTGAATATACGTATAAGACTTGTTACATGATCCATAGTCGATTTCAACATATTTTATTTGTAGTATATAACGAAAAATAATAAGAAACTGCATAAATATAGTTATCAGCACTCTCCATGTTGATGTATTGATTCATTAATATGATTCTTAATATAAAAACACATCGAACAATATGCACTATTAGACTAACATCTAGTTTTGGTTACTTCCAGCTTATTTCAACACTACCATCTTAAGGATGTGGGTATGAATTAAAAGAAGATGAATACACTCACACCCACACATTCAAGATGTATATTTGATTTTACGATCAAATGCCAATATAGATTTTAAACAAAAATAAATAACAAGGAAAGTCATTTAATCTTTCTTGTTTATTGCCGAGAATACAATGTTCATGTCTTTTATGTACCATTTTATAACGTTAAAAGAATCATAACAAAAACTTTGCGTAAAGTTGCGATGGCAATATTGTCGTTCTGTAGTTGACATCATTCATTTTCTTTGTTTCTAACAACAAGTAATTGCAAAATCATGTAAAATCAATGAGAAAACAAACTTCTACTCATTCGATCGGAAGAAAAAATAACAACATACCATATAATCAACATATAAGACTACACAACACGCATTTCGTCAATAATCTGTAATGGCAAAACAAACTAGCACCAGTTTTCTTACGTTACCGGTAGAACTTGTCTACCGAATTATGGATCACCAATCGGATCTTACGATCCTATCTTCCATGAGAAGCGTATGCAAACGATTCGATGCGATCGTAGACAGTTATCACCGATATCAGGTAAACGTTTTTCTACTATGATGGCCTAAATTTTATTCATTAACTTTCGAATTATTTTTCATTTCTACAATCTCTATGCAAGTAGAATGGTTTTTATAAAACAGACGTGAATAAACTATTTGTCACTCAAAATAACTCATCAGCTATCCCTCTCTCCACTAAGATTCACTTTTTATATGATGATAATATGAAAAATAGTGTCCTAATAATTAGAAAACCCAGTTCCTTTTTTTTCTTTATACAATTTCATCTAAATATTCTACGTTTCAAATAAGGTATGATGTTATAAACATACAGTGTTTAGATTAGAACGAAAAAAAAGAGATAAAACATTATTATTTGTGTTTTACGTGTATGTAAGCACCTTTTTTTTAAAGCACTGTTTCGATAATAAAAACCAGCTTTTAACAGAAATTAACCTTCGATAAACTAGTTTATCTTGTTTTAAATAACGTCCTCGATACTTCCTTGAGAAAAATTTTCGACAAATACTGCTTCAAGAGTATGCGTGACCAAGGGTGCCGATGACTGTGGATGTAGAGAAAACTGGTTCACAACAGTCAAACTCATACTACTAATATGCAATCTTTTTCAGGCAATACTACTCCTATAGCAAGTTTTTTCCCAAAATAATCGCTTCAAAACGGATTTCATTTGAACAATGGTTTAATTATTAAGAATGAAATTTTGAGCAGAATTCGTTAGCACTATTTTCTTATACAGCGTTTTAGCGTATATTCACCTTCTTCTCTCAATGAGTCTAACATTACGGAATAAATTATTTGACTTATTTTACACATTTAATAAACCAATGTAGCATCATGAACACCACCGTTTAGTTGTATCAAAACCAACTGTTGAAATTGATATATATATTCTCACTTATATAAGTCATACACATCAATAAGACCTAATTCGATAACTCAAACACAGTTCTGATGTGAAACACATATCGAGTCTGAATAATGAATGTAAACAAAACTGTCCACTAAGTATCGATAATAAACTATCTTTCGTTATACCTACTGAATAATAAGAAGCGCTGCATCACGCTTAACTGCGCTCTAAACCATTTACTGCAATACATTATCATTTGGGCACATAATCCTGTTCGAAATTGATTCTCTAGAAGTAGTTTACAAACTACTTTTCATTAATCGACATGTATTTCCTTCTTTCCCGAACATTCATGAACTAAACTAACACATAAATAAAAACTTTCTACTCCTAATTCAGCCTTAGTAGCTTATTTTTAGTCTAGATTTTCACAAGGCACGATTACACGCTGTGCAGGATACAAAATCATGTAGAACCTCATAATTGTATCTATACAAGCAACACGCTCGTTAGAACAATATTTATTTCACTGTTCTGAGCACATGCGATAACGATCAGCTATTCTGTCTCTTCATTTGTACCATATCCTTACCTCCTCTTTTCCATACAAGCACGCACTATGCTAGATCTTTCGAGAAATCAAATCGGATATATTGAAGCACACTCTCTGTGTGATGCATTATAACACAACACAATAACTCTCATTTACTTTTCATTTCCGTCATACTTTTACAAGAACTTGTTCATCTAGACAATCACCGCACTCAACCTCGATTTCCACGAAATCGGTGATAAAGGAGCACAAAATGTCGCCAATGCTCTTCAAATCAACAAAGTAATAGCAATACTTGTTTTCTTCCTCTTCACTTCACTTTATCATTGATACACTTTTCACACAGACACTCACGACACTCAACATCGGACGCAATAGAATCGGCGATCAAGGAGCACAATACCTTGCCAATGTTCTACAAATCAATAAAGTAACAACAATATTTGTTCTTCTCTTTCTTCATTCACACACTTAAACAGACACTCACCACACTCAATCTTTTTCAGAATCAAATCGGCGATCAAGGAGCACAAAATCTTGCCAATGCTCTACAAATCAACAAAGTAACAACAATATTTCTTCTTCTTCTTCTTCTTCATTTCACTTCATCATTTAAACACTTCTTA